CTACAAGAACGGAATCACTCTCGGAACATTGACGATATAGTCTCTGCTACGAACCAAGCGTGGGCGGATGTCGATCCGATGACGTTGAATGCCAACTTTATGACTCTTCAAGCCTGTATGCAGGAAGTCATCCGAGCCGGTGGGAACAACGATTACAAAATCCCCCATATGAAGAAGGCCTTACTTGCGTCGAAGGGTATGCTGCCTGAAGTGGTTTTTGCTGATGTGGATGTTGTGAATGATGGGCTTCAGCGTCTACGTTGTACCGACATGGTAAAGAAGAGAGAGGAGTTGGCGGCTGAGGTCTCTGAGAGCATGAAAATGTGCGAATTCAGTTTGCATTTGGAGATACTTGCACTCGATGGAGACCTCGAGGAGGACGTTGATGGCGATTTGATGAGCATGTTGGGTCTTGAACTGTTTTAAAATAATATACTTTGTTTTGTATAATCACTTGTAATTATATTCAAGAACGATTGAAGTGGTACGTTTGGAGCAATTATTTTCGGATCTCAGATTTTTGGTTCGGACCATTTATTTCCGGACAGAGGTAGTACATATTGGCCAATCTATCATGTTATTGCTCTATATTTGTGAAATACTACCTCTGATTGGGAATAACTGCAGGCAGTGACAAAAAGTGGTGATGTTGGCCTCGGATTGGCCTGAAAGTGAGTGGTTTCGACTCGTGAGAGCCTGACGATTCCAGTGATATTTTTGGTTCAATTTTATTTGCACGCATACGATCGCAGCAGCAATGTCAACTCGCAATACAAACTCCAAGATGAACCTTACCAATGACCTACGCATGGCGCTACACCAAGAGCTTCTTAAAGTAAGCTCAAATGGGGTTCTTAAACGGCAGCAAATGGTGGATGTGTGCGCACAGTTTGGCGTGCACTCGTCCACAGGGTGGCGCATCTGGAAACGGGGCAACGACAGCATGGCCCATGGCAAACCGGCGAACGTAGAGTCCCGCAAGCACCTCTCTGGGAACAAAACACGTTACACCATGGCCGATATCGAAGAACGCATCAAACTTACCCCCTTGCATCGACGGCAATCACAACGGTCTCTTGCAAGAGCAACAGGGTTGTCTCAATGGACGATTTGGAACTTCATACGGCAAAAAGTGGATCACCGTTCGAACAAGTTGGTCGAAGCCGCGGCTAACAACGGAGCACAAGGCGATGAGGACAGCGTTTTGCATCATGCACCTGGATGTCAGTGGTAAACGCCAATACAATGACATGTTCAATGTTGTGCATGTAGACGAAAAATGATTTTACCTCACGAAAGTGCGCCGCCGGTTTTACACTTGGCATGACGAGGC